GGTTATATTGACATACCCAAAATATAAAAGTGTTAAAAACTCCTTGATTATGGTACTATGCAACAATAACAACAAAAGGAGTGGTTTTATATCCATAGTAGCTACAACAGAAATATTTCTCAAGTAAAAATTACATGAAATTATCAGAAAAAATTAGGATCAATTTATTGGGAACAACGAGCGCAACTTTACTACACTTCTGCACGTCTGGAACTGGGTATGGGATCCCTCTCAGTAGGTCAACTAAATTGATCTATCATGCCGTTTTGACCATGTTCGGAGTTACACTGCGATTGCTATTACCCCACTCTCCCCTACCTGTACTTCATAACAACCGCGTTAACATATTTTTTTATACGAAAACAATGCCACAGTTTTTTGGTTTTATTAACAGAGATTCAACCTCTACTTGAAATAATCTTCTAGTGCAATCAGATGTTTTAAATTATTTTTTTCTAGGAGTTAAATCATTCCCAACCTGTTTCATGTTACTTTTTGGAATTAAATGCTTTGCAATTATGGTTTTATCTGAAGTTTTTTTTTTAATTATTACAGTTATCTTATTCTAAAAGATTTTTTTTTGTTTTAAATTTCGCTTACATTAATATGTCACAGTACAATTATATGCCGTATATATGGTGTTACAATTAAAAAAATTCCAATACCAGTATAATTGAAATAAGAAAAACACTCACATATATAAATATAAGCATATATACACTTACAGATGAATAGATGTACATATATATATAATCCTAAAAATTAAAATAAGCTAGGATCTGAAAGAATATCACAAGATCTTGTAGTCAGAACCTTATAAAATACAAGCAAGCAAAATAAAGACAAGTATAACATACAAAAAATAAAGTAAAATTAAAAAATAAAAAGTAAAACCCAAGTCAAAAAACAATTTTCAAAATATTAGAAGTATTTAAGAATATTACCAAGTAAAAAAATACATTTTTTAAGATAGTGCTTGAAAAGATAAAAGGAAGTTGGTTGATCGAGATTTCGCAGAACAATATTATTCCATAGGTGGGGTCCACGACAAGCAATGCAAAATTGATTGTGTCGTAGTGGATAGAGCGCTTGCTTTATAAGCAGGAGGTCCATGTTCGAAATGAGCTTTGAAAATACCTTGCTTCACGGTAAGGAAGGAGGCGTGAACTTTCTGGTTAAATGCACTTCCGCGGTGCTCTGTGACAAGACCGTTAGGTCTTCTTGGGGCACCTAAAATAAAAAATAATAAAAAATAAATAATAAAAAAAAAAGATTAAATTTTTTAAAAAAGTTGAAAATATTATTAAAAGCGGTAGGGGATAAATTATTTTTCATAAATATACAAAAAACATAAAACTTTAAATACATTGAGCTCAAATAAATTTAATAATTTCATTTCAGTAAAAATAGGTTTTGTATGTGTAAAACGATCTGCATAGTTAATTATGCAAATCGCATGTTTTTGACGACGATAAAGAGGTTTTAATTTACTTTTAACAGTACTCCCCCAAGCAGTGTTAACATAATTTATGTTACTGTGGATAAAAGAGTAATAAAGTTCGCTTAAGCAATTTTTATTAAGGTAGTTACGAGCTTTATATAGAATCCCAATGTTTTTTAAAATTTTAGTAGTAACATAATTAATGTGTTGATTCCAGGAAATATTTTCATCGAGATAAACGCATAAGAATTTTGTAACGGAATCATTTTTTATTTCAATTTCGTCTATATAAAGTTGTGACAAGTTTGTTTGTAATAATCGCTTTTTTGCATACGAATGGAATAGAGTCCATTTGGTTTTATTAATATTTAAAGTTAGCTTATTACTCCTAAACCAGTTTGATATAGGCTTTAGTTCTTTATTCATAGTGGTAAAGAGTTTATATATATAACTGCTTGAGAGGAATAGGTTGGTATCATCTGCGTACATGATACTTATAAGGTTGGAAGCTTTATTCAAATCATTTATATATATCAGGAAAAGTAGGGGTACGAGGATTAAACCTTGAGGAACACCGCATACGATATCATTATTTTGACAAACATCGTTACTAATTACAAATTGTTTTCTTTTTGTTAGTAAGCTTCTAAACCATTTTAAAGCAGTACCTTTAATTCCATAATATTTAAGTTTTTGCAGAAAAATATAGTAATCTACAGTGTTGAAAGCTTTTGATAGGTCGATGAAGATGCCTAACAGGTACTGTGATTATTCAAATGATTATGAGATTTCATGAACAAACTGGATTATTGCATGCTCCATTGAGTTACCTTTTTTAAAGCCGAATTGTTTGTTATATAGTAAGTTATTTTTTTTTGAGATGTTTGTATATTCTATTAGACATTATTCTTTCTAAAATTTTTGAAAATACCGAAAGAACAGAGATGGGGCGATAGTTGCTACTATTCGATCTGTCACCCTCTTTAAAGATAGGAGTAATTTTAACAACTTTTAATTGTTCTGGAAATATTCTTTGGTTAATAGAAGCTTTAAAAACTTTAAAAAGAACATGTTTTGATATATCTAAACAATCTTTATAATACCGAAACAGTCTATAATATATCGAAATCGCCTATAATATATCGAAACATTCTATAATTACATTTTCATTAATTTCATCTGCTCCTGTTGCTTTGTTTCTTTTCAAGGAATTCAAAGCTACTTCAAATTCCTCAAAAGATAATTCTGAGGTTAACTCATCCGAACAAATGCAATTATCCATATAGGTGCTAGTTTGGTTGCTCTTTTTTAGACCATCTCAGTTTTATCTATGTCTTGATGTAGGAATGAAAACCATACTTGGACCGAAAACTCAAGATGTGGACGTATGAATGTTGCATAGAGCTTTTTTACTATGTTTATCTAAATATTTAAATGTTCTCTTTATGATACCTAACATTCTGTTGGCTTGGCAAGTTACTGAATCAACTTGTAAAGGCCAATTTAGATCCGATTGAACCATTATACTTAAATCACGTTCAGCTTCTGTGTTACATAATGTATAATCAATATCAGTCATTATAAATGTAGCATTTGGTCTTTTTTTTCCGATTGGCATAATTTTGCATTTTTTATAATTAAACTTTGTGAACCAGATAGATGACCATGCCATTATATTATTTATATCACTTTGAAGGCTTATTGAATCATTCGGATTTTTTATGCTTATTATTTTACTATCATCAGCATAATGTTTGATAGCGACTTGATCTGGCAAATCAATAATGAAAATCAAAAACAGCAGTGGTCCTAAAATCGATCCCTGTGGTACACCACTGAAAACTGGTAGCCAATCTGAGACAGTGTCACCGAGGAACACTCTCTGTTTTCTGTTAGTTAAAAAGTTTTCTATCCATCTTAGATAATTTCTCACGATATCATATGATTTATGTTTAGTGATTTTAGACGAAAAGTTTTTAGACAAAACGTTATACAAAAAAAAAAATGATTAAAATAAATAAAGATATTTTTAAATAAAAATATATACATTTTAAGTTTCTGTTTGAATGCAAAAGTTAGTTTGGTAGAAAAATCGAAATTTGCTAACACGATAAGTTTTCCAAATAACCGGGAATCTTAATAAATTGAAGGGTCGGAAATTATTCTTAAATCTAACAAACAGATTTTTTTAATTTCTTAAGTTTCTAACAACATAAAAATTATTATGATCAAGCATTTTTGTGATCCTAATAATATTCTTTAAGTAATTAATACCATTTCAAAAGAGTTAATAACAAGTTTCGTTTACATCAAATGTTTTACGTTCGCCATTCGCATTGCAAACAAATCTTTATTCGTAAATCTTTATCATCATAACTATTGGAAACAAAATCATCTAAAACTATTGGAAACAAAATCATCTAAAGCTGATTTTGTTTCCAATAGTTATCAAAAGATAACTATTGGAAACAAAATCAGCTTTAGATGATTTATGGTAGCGAGCATATCTGGTATAAATATCTGCTACAAACGTGACACAGTATTTATTCCAATTTTTACACAAGTGATCTTCGATGACCTTTTAACAGAATAAGTTGTATGAATCTTTATTAATGAATTTAAGGATTCTCTGTTACTATCATTTTGAGCAAACCTCGCATACAATTTATAGAAATGTACATGATAACAAACTTTAATAGCAGACCAATATAGAAAGACATTGCACATTGCAATTTCTTTCTCAAAAAATTTTTTTTTTGTTTTTTTAACTTTAGTTATTTGACAATTATTTTAATTAATGTAAAAAAAAACTGCGAAATTGTTTTACATTTCTCGAAATTTAATGACCAGGGTGAGCGGTCTGAAAATAACTACTGAGTTATTTGGTGTCTAACCCCCTGTTTTAATTTGAAATTTGCATCAGTTTTAATGTAAGTTATAAGTATTATTCGTTCATTCAAACCCAAAAAAAAAGTATAATTTTCGGACATTTATTTAAACCTGTTGGAATAATTAGACTATATAAAGAATAACTATATAAAGGGTAGGCGCAAATCATAGACTCACAGTGACCCACTTTACGCGTACGGACAGCTAGATTTAAATAATAATTTGAACAAACAATGCAAATTAATAATAACATTTATGGTTTGAAACTATTTGTACCAAAACCAGTTGCTGGAGTTATATAAATTTTAAAGACAACTAAAGAAATAGGAAAGTGTAGCTAAAACAAAATCTCTGAGACTCTAACCTAACTCTAAGTGTAATTAAAATAAAATCTCTGAGACTCTAACTCTAAGTGTAATTAAAACAAAACTCTAACCTAAGAAATAGGAAAGTGTAATTAAAACAAAATCTCTGAGACTCAAACACCTGCAGACTTGCAGATTGCTGATCTGCTTATCAAAATTCCGAAAATGGCGGAGATATGAGTAATTTCCCGATTGTATACATCAACTTATTTGATTATCCAATTTTCTTTAATATCAAACCGTAAAACTAGGTGGGTGTAAAAAAAACAACAAAAAACAAAAAAAAAAACACAATTGCCGAGCGATTTTTAATTTTATAAATATATTTAATTTTTTTATATTGAAATCTAAAACTATATTTACATCTATTTACAAAACTAATGAAAAAAATTTTTAATTTGGTAGCAGATTTTCTTTATCTTTATTTTGAATTTTTTCATGATTGGTGGTTACTTTCACAATACCGTTCTGAAACTCATCTTTTTCAGTTGATTGAAGAGGGGGCTCTATAATATTTAAAACTATATACATGAAGAGCTTATTTTAAAACGCGGTATGAGCATCTTTGATTTTATGGCTTTGAATATTACTTAAATAAGTAATTAGCGCATGAAAGAGCACTTAATTTATACTTTTCAGATTTTACATAATTAATTTGTTACTATTAGTTACATTTTAATTTACGTAAGTTTTTTAAGTTGGCACACAAAAACAAAATTGCTCTTACCGCATTTTGAAAGTAATTCAAAAGTACGCTAACATTAATAGTTATATAAGTTTATTTTGTTTTATAATTAGCATATAAACAAAGTTGTGTTACTTTATAATTCTTTATTTTTATTTTTTATAAACTAGTATTTTTATTATTATTGTTATATAATTAGTTTTTTATTTATAAACTGTTTTATAAATTAAAAATACCTTTAAAAAATAAAACTTACGGGAACTACAAAAACGTTTTTTGTGGTATAAACAGATTGACACCAATGAAATTGACAAAAAACAGCTTAAAACTATTAAACTGTAAAAGCCGATTTTTATTTCAAACAATTCTTGTTTATCTAAAAAAAGTACAAAAAAATGTTTAATTAGATACAAAATAAAACTTTGTAACCTATTTTTTTTTTTTTTTTTTAAATTAAACAATTTATTTAATTATTTTAAACAATTTTTTGAAAAGATCTTAACTTTATACAGGAATTATTGACGGATCCAACATTTTTTTGGTGTTTGAGATATGAAATTTTAGGGCTTTTTTGTTCCTCGCCTCCAATCATCTCAAATATCAAAAAATGTTTATCTTAAACACCAAAAAATGCTGGATCCGTCACGGTGGAAATATGGTGTAAACCGTAAAATACCATATTTTACGACTATAGTCTAATCACCGCCTTTAAAAATTATTTAAACAAATCTCAATTGGACTTAAACACATAAAACTGTACTTAAACACGTATCAAACCGTAAAAGTTAATATAGGTGGAATTAAAAAAAAACAACAAAAATATTAAGCAATTATTAACTATTAAGTAATAATTAAATATTAAGTGAAATTAAAATATTTCAATTAAAAAACAAACCATTTATGCTTTTTTGTTCAAAGTCTTCGTATTCATTTATTTTTGTGTTGCTAACATATCCACAACAACATATTTCACAGTTTTTATATGAAACACCTTGTTTTAAATCACCATTACATAAACAAACAGCGCACGAGACAGGTCCATCAACAGTTTTAAATATATCTGAGCCATCTTTTTCTTTACCACACGTTAAATATTCGCCTGTTATCGATTTTGAAAATGTTCTACTTATGTATAAAATGAAATAGGGTAATAATAACAACTGAAAGTTCATTTCATTAAAAGTATACTTCGACAATAAGTAATTTGCCCTTTAAATCCAAAATATTTTCTCTCTTTCTCTAATGAAAGTTTAAATGTAATCTCAACTTATAGTAAATTTGAAATGACGTACTGAGGGAATTTCTTAAAGTAATTTTTTTTTATAATTCAACATGTTGTAATATCAAACTGGGGAATTACCAAAATAATACTTTAAATTGAAAAAAAAATGTTGGTTAATTCCCGCTATTTGAATAGAATAAATTAAAAAATCATCACTTTTTCTCGTTGTTTATACTTGACCAAAACAAAGCAAATATCTTGAAATTTACATTAGTAAGACAATATATTATTTAAATATATATCATTACTCATACGTTAATAATACTCTATTGTAATACGTTGTTAATCTGTTGTCATAAGTTAATCTGTAATGTCATAAGAAGAATGATGCAATATAATGATGTAATGTCATAAGCATAAATTTATGTTGTCATATGCTTGTGTAATTTTTGTGAAACCGAAAAAATGACGAACTTCTGTTTTTAAAAAAAATATTTTATTTTATTATGTATGATATTAAATATTTTTTTTGAATACTTTTTTGAAGGCAGTATTGTTTCTAATGTGTACGTCAGAAAATTTAAACTTTTTTTTATCTGTGAATAAAATTCTTTTACTTATTTAATTTTTTTATTTTTTCATGTTATTAAAATTTGTTTTCTTTTTCTTTTGAATTGTTCTTAATCTGTTATCATCTTCTTTAGTATCAAACGATTATTACCGTTTTTAAAGATTTTAAAATGCAATTGATTTCAGATTTACGAATGAATCCAAGTTTATTTTGAAGAATTAATAATGTATTTAAAAAAATACCAACAAATGACACAGATTTAGGTACACCTACGCATAACACACGTAATGCGTAGATGTATGTTCATGTTTAGTATATGCTATGTATGATTACTTAGAAATGTAAAAAATCATACATAATATATAATAAACATATTCTCGGATCCTTTATGGAGTCCTATGGGAATGAGGTCTTAATAAGTTTAGGGAGGAGGGAGTGGTAGATATTTTCCAAAAATTAATAAATGTTTCCTATATCTATACTAAATATATCTTTTGTATTGTTTTTTTTTTAATCTGTCGGACATTTCTTAACCAAATTTGCGGGGTATGCTGAACAAATATTGTGGGGCAATATATTTCAACTAAAGCTAATTCCGATCTGATGCTAATTCAAATTTCAATTTTAAACTTTTTGATTTACAATAAAACAACTAAATAGACCTAAACATGCGAAACTAAAAAAAAAAAAGAAAAAACTCCTAAAAATGTTATTTAAAAAAAAAAAGGCTGGACTTCTAAAAAAGTTTTTTTTTTACTGAATAAAAAATAAAATTAACCTGACAAATTACACATACTAGCAATATAAAATACAAAGCAATATACAATACGAACTTAAATAATAAATATTTACACATCTATTCATAACTATCAGTTTCAGTACAATATCAATGCAACTAAATACTTAGGTAAACTCTGTTTTAATAATAGGTAGACAAACCCAAAACACTCTCAGTAGTATAGAAAAACGTTCTCCATAGAAAGAATTAGATTTTTAAGCTTAGTTTTAAAAACAGAAAACGAGGAAGGCAGATCAAAATTTTGCAAATTAACTTCATTCCAAAGATTAGGTGGACAATAATCAATACAAAGCTGATTTAACTTAGTTCGACATAAAAGTTTATTTAGCAAATTATTATTTCTCAGTGCATACTTATTGTCCGGCTTCCAAGTAAAAATGTTTTTAAAAAGGTTTTGAATGAGTAAAACAATCGGAAAAATTAATAATACGAATTGCGTGTTTCTGACAATAAAAAAGACGTTTCAACTGATTCTTTGCAGAACTTCCCCAAACAATATTTGCATAATTTATATAATTATGGATAAACGAGTGATAGAGTTGGTTTAAGCTCATTTTATTTAGATAATCTCTAGATTTATATAAAATTCAAATATTTTCAGAAATCATGGTACATAGGTGATCAATATACTGTTTCCATGTAATGTGCTCATCAAGGTAGACTCCTAAAAACTTTATAACCTTTTTTTTTATTATTTATTTTATATATATATATATATATATATATATATATACATATATATATATATATATATATATATATATATATATATATATATATATATATATATATATATATATATATATATATATATATATATATATATATATATATATATATATATATATATATATATATATATATATATATATATATATATATATATATTTGTACTTTAATACCTAAAAAGAAAGGAAATCAAAAAAGATTCAGCATTTTTGGGTATAAAACTCCAAAAAAAATCTTTTCGTAGATTCCCTTATAACGCCATTTGGCGTAAAAACCTTCTTAACCTCAATTTGGTTAATAAATATTTTAGGCAAATTTATGAGTAAGTAACGTTTTTTTTTTTAACGTTTTTTTTTTTTTAATATTTTAGTAATATTAGGAGTTAGTTTGTTACACTTGAACCAGATATTTTTTTAAGTTCGTCATCCATATTACAAAACAGTATGTCAGCATTAGAAAAGAATAGGTTAGTATCATCAGCGAGCATAATGCTAAATAGAATTGAAGCTTTATTTAAGTCATTAATGTAAATCAAGAATAAGAGGGCCCTAATATAAAGCCTTGAGGAACACCGCAAGTTATATCTAATAAATTTTTTTGATAATCATCCTTACGAGAAACAAATTGTTTTACGGTTAAAAATTTTTAAAATACCTTTTTGTATGTTTTTATTAAGGATATCTGTTGTAATAATATTATCAATAAGAAAAGTTGAGTTTATTGTTACTCTTGTCGCTTGATTAATTAAAACAACTGCTCCTAATTCAAATATTGCGTCATAAAACTTTTTAACTTTAGAATCCTCATAATAAGAAAAAGTTGAAGAACTTCATGTTAAAGTCTCCAATAACAAAAACTTTTTTTTTCATAGTAATCATTTTGAATATGTTTTGTTCAAAAAAAATGCTCAAGTTTTTGTCGAGGCCAGGTCGTCGATAACAGCAGCTTAATAGAATGTTTTTTGTTTGATTGTTTACAACTTTAATCGTTAATTCATATTGCTGAATACTCGTTAATTCATATTGCTGAATATTCCTGAAAAAGTTTGTTTTGATATTGCAAAAAGCAGCAACAATAAAGCCAGCAAACATCAAATTACATAAAATCTAAATTAGTCATTTTTGCAACTTTTCTATCATCAGCCGGTAAATAAAAAGTTCTGTTTCATTGCCAAGACAAGTCGCCTGTTCATTATGGTTCGATATTTTAGTTGAAGCTAAAGCTACGGCTTTAATAGGGTAATAATTTTCCGTGGTCATTTCACACTAGGCCTTTGTATGCTGACGATTGTATTCTTTTTTTTACGCTTTCTTATCAAATTCAGTATATAACTTAAAAAAAATAACCAATTTTTTTAAAACCGTGTTGCAAGCCGTTGGATGTATGGAGGCGAAAGATATAGTTGATGTACTTAAAGTTTTAAAAGTCTTTTTATAATACTGATTTGGCTGCAGCAATCTCAATACAATTTTTTTGTTTTTTGTTTATATATGCATATATATATTAGCCCGTCCTATTTTGACCCTTGAGTGTCGAAAAATATTCCCAAGCCACTCTTTTAAAGATGAACATTTTTAAATTTTTTGAGTTTTTACGGGCATTTTCAAACAATCGGCGCGAATAGAAATTTACAAATGATTAACTATATAACTGAAGCTATATATATCTGAAGCTATATATATCCCAGCCGGCATTATTACGTTGTTTCAACGTTGAAATTCGGTTGAAGCGTTGTTTCAACGTTGTTCAACTATTTCACAACGTTAAATCAACGTTACCGTTTAAACGTTGATTATTTAACGTTATTTCAACGTTAAATCAACGTTACAGTTTAAACGTTGATTATTTAACGTTATTTCAACGTCATTGTTTCAATCATTGTTGACAAAAAATACGATATAAAATTTATGCGCGCGCAGAAATGGAATTAAAAACGTAAACATTATTTCAACGGTTAAAGTTATAGAGATTTATAATGGAAAAAAAATGTAATTACTGAACTTATACCATATAGAATTTTCAAGAGATCGAAGACATGTTCAGACGATTTACCTGAAAGAACATTATCGTTTAAAAATCGATATTTTTTGTTTAACTTGGGCTACAATCCTCAAAGGCTGATATTATTAAATGTAAATATAATACAACTTTTTCAAAAAATGATCCATTAAACTATGTTGAATTTAATGCTAAGCGTTGTTTTTTAATAGAGCATCAAGAATTAAAAAAGGAAATTGATAACTTTAAAAAAGAACTTCAGCACGAAATAAAAAAATAAAGATTTATATGAAAAATTAACTTCAACCACATCAGTTATTATTATGAAAACAGACAAGTTTGTATATAAACATAATCCAAACAAATCGTGTTATTGCAATTTACTTGTATACAAACATTTAGTTTAAAAATGATAAATCTTGAGACTTTTATACTGACCTTACATCTGTCAATGTGTTTCATCAGTTAGTGCAGTATCACCATTAATCAAAAGAGATAAAGTGATATTAAAAAAAAACATTTACTTCTGTTTTTTAAAATTTAAAAAAATCCTTAACTACTTGGACCAAAATAAATGTAATGCAGCAAAGATGAATTTTTAATGATGCTAATACTTGGATTATTGACAGCTGATTTTGCTGACAGGTTTAATATATTTTTAGGATTAGCGAATGCAATATTTTCTTCATTGTTGAAAGCTTCTAGCTCACTTTTAAACTACATGGTTTTTGTTCCAAGTAAAGATGTTATAAGACAGGCAATGCAAAACAGATTTTAGAAATTAAATTATTCAGACAAACACTAAATTTCAGATATAACAGAATTTATTATGGAATCACCTTAAAATTTTGACTTACAGAAACTAACAGGGAATGAATACAAACATTACAGCAATATAAAAACATTAGTACCCGTAGCTCCAAATTCATCAATAATTTCTTTAAAAAATTTCTAAAGCTTACAGAAGCTAAATTTCGGATAAAAAAATTACATATCACAACAATTATTTAGATTGTATTACAAAATACTCTTGTATAATGTATGATTAAGGCTTTAATATTAATTTTTTAATACAAATGAAGTGATTTCCATTTTTATCAGTCACTTTAAAAGTATGATGAGTATTTGTATAAAGATAATTAAAATTTCAAACAATAATATTTACTTTACTTGTTGTTGTTTTTTAGGTGAATCAATTGCAATTGATGGAATATCTTTAAAATGCTGAGGTAATTAAAATAATTTTGAATTATTCAGGAATTTTAAAGATTAAATTATTTAGCAAAAAAATTATTTGATAATGAGTTCAATTTAAATTAAAAAAAAAAATTAATATTAGTTCTCGCATAATTAATATCAGTTCTCTTATCTATTAAAATTTAGAATATTTTCCAACAATTTTGTGATCTCCATAAATATGAAGGGGAAAGGTGGAAATATGCTTTAAGAGCACTAATTTATATGGTGTAGTGAAAGGTATACCTTTATAAGATATGAAAAACTTTTTTATTCTCATTTTTTATATATTCAAAAATTTCTCCTTGTGTTTTTTTTTTAATTGATGGCATTTTGTCTAACTTCTAAAAATGTGCTTTATTTCGAAAAGGTGGCAGAAAAGAAAAAAATTTAGATTGATTGATATAAATTTATATTTATTAAAATCAATCTAAAATTTCTTTATTGAAATATTTACATATATTTCAATAAAGAAATGTTTTCTTTTTGTCTGCTAATATTTTTTTTTTCAGTGTTAATTCAACATTACAAATTAAAACTCAATTATGAAAAAAGTCTAGAATTGAGTTGGTGTTTTAAGTAAAATAAGAAAAGCCCAAAAAGTAACTGATGTAATATTTTTATTTTTTGATAAAAATAAAATTCCAATAATGTTTAAAATTGGTATTAATATTAATGTTTATTAGATGAAAATGAGTGAAAAATAAGTAATGTTTATTAGATAAAGATAAGTAAAAAAATAAGTTACAAGTTTTTTTTTGATCTTGAAAATTGTTTGAATGATAATTTATTATTTATCAAAATATTTTCTTTTTTAATTTTTGTTGTTTTTATATTTTAATTAAAAGTCGATATTATTGTGTCATATATTATAATATACCTTAAATTATACTATTATATTTTATATTAATAATGATTATTTTTGTTTTTTTGTATTTCTATTTTTTTTCAATATTCCATAATTATCTTATGTAGATGTTTATGTTTTAGCAACCTAGTATTCTTTCATTATTTGTCTTTGTTATTGAGCCTTAAGTTATTTGAACATAATATATTCAGAACTCTGCTGAATAATAGAGTAATAAATTAAATATATAAATAGTTTAAAATATAAATAAAATAAATAAATAGTTTAAAACATTATAAATTTATAAAATAAAGAAAATCTTATCTTTGCTTATAATGTCTACTAATATTATTGTTTAGCAAGTATCATGGTTATAAAATGTTCAAATTTAGCTAGTTTAATTAGGCCTGTTAGTACACTTATATTACAGTTTTTTCATTTTATATTAGTTCATGTAATTTTTTCAAAATCGAATATGCGGAAAGGAGCTGTTTGGAATGAAGATTTACAAGAAGAAGTAATTCCATCTAATTGGAATTACTTCTTCTTGTAAATTACAATTTTTATTTTTTAAATAATGTGGTAAAAAGAGTAAAAAATAGTTATATATTTTGTTGATACAAAATATATAACTATTTGTATAACTATTTCAATTCTAAAAGAAAGCAAACAGTATTGTGAAAATTTTAAATTCACAACTACAAAAGAAAAATGTGATAATGAGAATGTTGACAAGTGGATGCAAGATTTGCACACAAGTGGAAACTTGGATGCAAATTTTCCATTTGTGTGGTTTGGATGGTTCTCCACAATATAATATATCTCCACAAGCATAATATTAGATTTACTTCATGTTTTTTACAGATAAATCAATTACAGATAAATTAATTAGTTAATTGGTGGAACGTCTTCTAAAGATAGAATACACAAAATTATGCTGAGGTAATCAAAAACAGTATTGAACTCTTACCTCATTTATAATCAGGGTGTCTGCAGCTCCTCTAAAATCTTCTAAAGTCCTCTTTTTTTTAAAACCACTTCTAAAATCCTCTATTATCCTCTAAAGAGATAAAAATTTGATCAAAGCTCCTCATTAATTCTTCCTTTTTTAATTTTTGAAAAGTATAATGTTCAGTATACCCATTAAGTATAATGTATAATGTTCAAAATACCCATTCTCGGTCTGCAAAACTGGTTAACGCCTTAAAGTGCATGAAATGTAAAAAATTGCTTTAGAAAATGCATGCCATTTAACATAATAAATGACATTATTTGATCCCTGTCCCAGCCCCATAAGTGTATAAACATGGACGTTAAACCATTAATAAATGGCCACATAAAATTTCTTATAAAAATTTTATGTGGCCACCCCGAAAATTATTTTTAAATGCTAGAAATGTTTTATATTTTGACTACCAATTTATTTTTAATATATTAAAAAGGTTGTTTTATTTAAATTAAATATTTGAAAATGTTATTAATAACCAACTAACAGTTATATTATTTTTTTAAAATTCAGAGTATTTTCGAAAAGTTATATGGTCTCTATGGATATGAAGGGCAAAGGTGGAAAAATGTGTTTTAAGAACACTAATCTATATGGCATTGAAAAAGATGTGCTTTCATAAGCTGTAACACTTTTCCATTCATTATTTATTTTTTAAATCTTCCCTTTTTGATATTTTATATATATTTTTTTTATTTACAGCTTCTTCTATTGTATTCAATGGACCAAAAGAACCCTCGGTTAATGGAACATTGTTTGACTTTCTAAATTACGCTTTATTTCAAAAAGGTGGTGGAAAAGAGAAGAAATTTGTGTAGATTTTATTCAATTACATGTAAATATATGTAATATTTGAATATGTATTTTTAAATAAAGCAAGTTTTATCTCTTTCTTTAATCATACCTAGCTTTACTAAACTAAACTGAAAAAGTTCTATATAGTCTAAGTATAGACTATGAATAGATTTAATATCCATAATATACCTTGATAATGTACAGCAACACTAATGTACATGCATAGTACGTTTTGATGGTGATCATATTTTGACGCACATAGCACGTTTACATACATATATACATTTTGACATACATAGCACGTTTTGATGGTGAAAAAGTGTTTTACAGTCGTTTAACGTTGATAAATCAACGTTAAACACTATCATTTTAAACGTTGTATCAACGTAAATTCAACGTTGTTGTAACGTTTTTTCGCGTCGAATCAACGTTGATGTAACGTTTGAACCTAACGTTGATTTAACGTTGATAAATTAACGTTGAAAAAAACTTTCATTCTAAACGTTAAATCAACGTTAATTCAACGTTATTGTAACGTTTTTTCGCGTCGATTCAACGTTGATATAACGTTTGAACCTAACGTTGATTTAACGTTAATAAATCAACGTTGAAAAAAACTTTCATTCTAAACGTTAAACCAACGTTAATTCAACGTTAGGTTTCAACGATATTTCAACGTTATTTCAACGTTATTTGCCGGCTGGGATAGCTTCAGATGCTACTTCAAATAAAGATTTCTTGTAAAAAACCATTAAAAAAAGAAGAAAGGTGGATTTCTTTACAACAAAATATATGAACCTCTTTCTAAAAATAAAGTATTTAATGCCAGTTAATATGGATTAAAAAATAATAATTCCACAGAACACGCTGTTGCAGATTCTTTTAAGCAATCACAATTTACTCTTGAAGTTTTCATTGATCTATCAAAAGCCTTTGATACAATAGATCATGAGATTCTTATAACAAAACTTAAAAACTATGGAATCAGCGGAAATTTCTTAAATTTGCTAAAATGCTATCGAAGCAATCGTAAGTAGTTTGTGCAAATTGACGTATCCTCCTCAACAAGTTTACTAGATATAACATGTGGTGTTCCCCAAGGGTCTCTACTAGGGCCACTGCTTTTTCTCATTTATGTTAATGATCTGCACAATGCCTCAAATTTGAAGACAGTAATGTTTGCTGATGATACAAATTTTTTTCTATCCGGTAAAAATATCATTACACTATTTAATAACATCAAAATAGAACTAATTAAAATTTCAAATTGGTTTAAGTCAAATAAACTATCAATTAACTCGGAAAAAACTAAATGGACACTAAAATCCCCAAAAAAACTTTTTCTAAATGATATGCCTCAAATATATATTGACAATGTTCAAATAAAAAATATATCGGCAACAGAATCGAAACAAAAAAAGGGTTCCAAGGAGCTAGCTATGACGACTTCTTTCGTTATTGAATGGTTCTAATAATTTGAATTTGGATCCGATACCTAACTGCAAACTCTGGACCTTAAAAGTACATTTAAAAATTATTTTTTTAAATAATTTCTTGAGATATTTGTCTCAAAATGAAAATTTATATGTATAAAAATATATATTGCACATTTGCAGCGTTTAAACGCTGAATTCTGAAGCAAATTTGCTTCAGAAACAAAAAATCTGTAGCAAAAACGAATCCAGCATTTTTTGGTGTTTAAGATAACATTGAGCAAAACCCAAACATTTGTATGTTAATACTAATGTCAAGTAATGATGCTTTTTAAAAAGTTGCAATGATTGGAGGCTGGAAACAAAAAAAACCTAAAGTTTTATCCCCCCTGCCCCAAAAGTGAAAACAACAAGTTGATGAAATAATTTTTTTTGGCTATTCTTAACTAAATTTATATTCAAGGATAAATTTTAAATTTTGTTTTACAATCTCAAAACGTTCAAAAAATTATGACTATATAAAATTTGTAACCCCCTCAAATTGAGAGGGGCTCAAACTTTATATGGCTACAATTTATGAACTCTGAGAGATGTTACTATGAAACTTAAAATTTATTAATGAATATAAACAAAATTAAGAATTCCAAAAAATTATTTTACCAACTTATTGTTCTCACATTTGGGGCAAGGGATATTAAACTTTAGGGCTTTTTAATTTCCAAAATATTGCAATGATTGGAGGCATCATCATTATGAAGCATCATTATTTGACATAAGTATAACCATACAAATTTTTTGAGTTTGCACCACGTCTGTTAGCTATTTCAAACACCAAAAAATAATGGATCCTTCAATGATCTGTGGTTCGATGCCTATTCTAGGCTTTCTTTCGACATGAAGAAAGTTAAATGATCTTCTGCGGTGTTCTGTGATGCGACAGAGTACCGCAGAAGATAGGTCTTCTTGGAGCACCTAAAATAATCACAGAAAAAATGTGCATGTAATTGAATCACATTGATACGTTTTGATCTAGTTTAATTTAAAACAAAAGATCGAAAGTCTTTTACCTAATCCCCTGAGACTTACCCAATCCCTTAACGAAACCATTTTGGAATTAGATTTGTTTAATCCAATGCTCCAGTAACAGTATTTTGAAAAAAAAAAACATCATTTGATAAAAATTTGTTGTATGACTGGAAAAAATTTGTAGTATGATTGGAAAAAAGACTAAAGAATAATTTATCGTAATCAATGTAAGATGGGCACAACATCTTTCTTAAATTAATAAGCACAGTGTTTTTTTTTTTTGGTACAGGAACACATAAAGAAAACATAGTTGAAAAATTAACTGGATTTGACATCAGAATCTATTCGCGCTGATGCTTTGATATTGCCCTAAATTTAGTCGAAAATCATAAAAAGCGCAACTTTGAAATATTGGCGCGAATCCTTCAATAAAAAAAAAATTAAAAATAATTTTTTTTATATAATTATGACCTCTACACCATACATTAACCGTATAAAAATTGGTTGTCGAAAAAAAATTATGGGATTGGCTAACATATATATATATATATATATATATATATATATATATATATATATATATATATATATATATATATATATATATATATATATATATATATATATATATATATATATATATATATATATATATATATATATATATATATATATATATATATATATATATATATATATATATATATATATATATAGCGAAACGAACACCAAAATGAAACATCTTTTAAAAATTTTTGCCTAAAAACGAATAATGCGCTAACCGTCACTGATATTGATTACTAGTAATGACCAATCACTTGGTAATTACTAGTAATTTTAGTAATACTAGGTAAGGTCTTCCAGCCACACTTTTGCTTGGCTGGAAGACCTTACCAACAAGATTGACTTTGTAAAATGCCAATTTAAAAATCAATTCAATTTAAATTAGCAAAAATCACTTCAATTTAAAAATTTAAAAATCTGGATCTTTTAATCCAGATTTTTAAATTTTTAAATTGAAGTGTTTTCGAATCATCTTTATCATCCTAAAAGATTCAAGAATTCAATTTCATAAAAGTCAACTCAACATTAGTAAGCTGAATCCATCATTTAAGCCGTGAAACAAATTTTTGGATCTTTGCATACGGATTGGCGTTTCAAAACAATTTTTGATGCGGCTACTGAATCTGAAAAAACAATTGATATAAACAAGCCAGCTCAGCACAGAAAGAATTACCAGCAAAAGAATCCATGAAACCAATGAAACTTAGAAAAAAAATCTCTAGATTTCCTTCGTTCAAAAAAAAAAAGAAAAAGATTAGAAACATCGCTTCAAAGGTTGTTTTATTAAAATCATTCTGGTCAAGCCCATGTCAGCTTATGTAGCAGATAGTTTTGTAAAATAATTTTTTTTTTATTAACAATTAGCCAGGAGAGGTTAAGGCAATTTCTCCAATAATTACCCATAAAGAAACTGCCCGCATTCTCATTGAAAAAAACGAAACGCGCCATATATTTGGAAGCCATGTAAAACCAGTAAAATCCATCAGTTTATTATATTTTCTTGATGCTAGTTAACTAAAATGTTGTGATAACTGTGAAAATGTCGAATAGTTCTCAGTTTCCGAAGTTCGATTATGTTTTGCTTTGTATAATATATGTAATTAATTAAGACTTGTTGTCTGATCACTAATAAAAAAGGGTTTAAAAAAAAAGGTTATTTATTTAATTAGAAATAACAAAAAAGTAGTTATTGATTTTTTTTTCTTCTATAAAACTCAATACTGGACAGTGGACAAACATCGCACAAAAAAAATCGAACGTTAAATTTTGCACCCCTCAAATATACTCTAAGCCCATGATTATGATTATTAATAAAAATTTTTTTTATAGTGTTAACAATTTAAGTCTTCACTGATTTACAAAAAGATATGTTAGAACAATACACCACAAAAACTTTTGATATTTATTATGGATTCCTTATTATTTCCAATATTTATATTTGCCAATCATTTCAATCTAGTTTAATAACATTAAAAAAAAAAAAAATTCTTTTAGTAACCATACCTTAAGGGTTACCCTGGGGATGATTAGAGATTATAGGATCGCCTATCTAATCCATAGAGCATGTAGGATGTATCATGTAGAATGTAGCATGTATTTCAAGTTTCAAAAATTAAATTGTAAACCGAAATATTTACTTTATTAACTACTTAATACAAGTGCTTTTTTAGATATTATTTACAGGGTATTGCTTATTCAGTTACTATTTTAAGCATTATAAATTTAACATTTATGCATTAACAATTAGCGACGGCTAACTATCGCTAATTTTTAATAATTGAAATAATCACTTCTCACACTTATTGACGTTTGAGCTGAAAACATGTTTTCGGTCATTACATTGAAATTTAATTAATGGGGAAGATATCGTTAGGGATAGCGCCAATCCGCGTAACTAGCATTGGCTACTATATTTGGATATTATTAATTTTAGCACCAAATATT